GAAATCCCCTCTCAGTCAGTTTTATATATAGGAAGGGTTTGAAGATTCTCACCTGTTTCTGCAGTTATAAAATGAAGGAGTTCTGATTGTGAAAAATAACAATGCTACTACTGCCACTACTACTAATAACGGTAATTTAATAATAACAATGCAAAAAAAATGAATAGTACAGGAACATATTATATCAAAACTTTCTTGCATATTTTAACAGTAGTGCGCAGATCTCATAGTTTACTTATAAGTGGGTCCAGCAGTTTTACAGCAGAGTCCGTAACTTGTTTTGCTTGTTCACCTTTACAGCTCTGGTATTTTTATATGTCAGTATTAACTGTCAGAACAGTGTATTATTGTATAGAGTGGAACAGCTGTATCCAATTCTGCATACCTGGCTTTATATTATAAAGTTCTTATAATATAAAGCCAGGTATGCAGAATTGGATATAGCTGTGCCACACTACAGAGTGTTCATGTTCTTCATAATATTAAGAAACTGACCTAAAATCATGATTTTGTATTGCTTTAGAAAAAATGTGACCTGCCCCTTTAAGAAAAAGTATCGGTAATTGGTATCGGCGAGTACTTGAAAAAAAAGTATCGGAACGCAAAGTTATTTCTTATAGCAAACAACCACATTCAATCTGTCATGTTCATTGCAGGCTACAATATAAATGTTAATTGATTATGTATTTGATTGCTATGGGCAATGCTGCTATTTTTACTTTATTTTTTTAAAGTGTATTTAAACCCAAATAAATATTTGATATAGTGCAGCTTCCTAGTCTCAATCGACTTTATAAAAAAGCTTCATAGTCTATGGATGTGGTGGTCGCCTCTGTTTTCTTTTTTTAGGCTTTATTTCCTTTATTTTCACGTTGTGATACTGCCAGTAACACACTTCCTGTCCCAGGATGACAACGCTCACTAACAACACTGTATCTATGGAGAAGTGGCGTTGTCACCCTAGGATACAACGTGGTTTATTACTACAGAACACCTTCCTATCTCTTAATCTCCAATCCATAAGATACACTATATTACCAAAAGTATTGGGACGCCTGCCTTTACATGCACATAAACTCTAATGGCATCCCAGTCTTAGTCCGTAGGGTTCAATATTGAGTTGGCCCACCCTTTCCCCCTACAACAGCTTCAACTCTTCTGGGAAGTCTGTCCACATGGTTTAGGAGTGTGTCTATGGGAATGTTTGATCATTCTTCTATAAGCGCATTTGTGAGGACAGGTACTGATGTTGGACAAGAAGGCCTGGCTCGCATTTTTTTTTATTATTAGATTTCTTTTATTAAATTTTAATTTAAAAAACTTTTTTTTTTTTTTTATTTTACTTTGACTGCTATCACA